AGGAAGAAGTTTTATTCAGAAATTAAGTCTTACTGGATGAAGATGAAACTTTAAATACGTACTCTGAGCACGTATTATCTGTGGCTAGTCTTCTAGTGTAGCCTGAAAGCTTGGAAGTGCAGCCTACATATAAAAAGCAAGGAAACTTGAATGCACTTCACATGTGTGTATTAAGACAGCTCTCCAATTCAAGCAGAACAAAACAAAAAAACTACATGGTTACTACACCAACTTCCGAGTACTTTCCTGAGTACATCCTTAACAAAGTATACATGAACAACATTTTTTTCTAGACTTTGTTGTCATACTGAATGCCTTAAGACAAAAATCCTGTAGTTACTCCTGTCAGTCTTTACTTAACAGGCAGTTTGTCTCTACTTGTATTTCATGCAGCTAGCAGGTGATTCCTGTAATATTCTGAATATTCTGAAGTTTTTCGCCAAGCAGTCATGAGTATTGAAATAAGTTATGCATTCTCTTCCTTATATCTCTCTCCCCAGGACTCAGTATTTTCTGTGGACCTTATGTAATAAAATAGCATGCAGTGTGTCTTTAAGAATCAGGAAAGCTAAAATCATTAACTTACCGTTAATAGTGAACTTGCTATCAGTGTAGATAATTAATTTCTTGATGTTTTGACTCTTTGCTTGCTCTATTGCTTTGCAGGCTGCCTTAAGAAATTTCAATAGAACCACAGTTCAGAACAGGATTTTGAACACACGCAACCAAAGTACTTGATGCTAACATAGAACTACAAAGAATATCACTGCAATCTCTCCATCACTGAGTATCAACATGCTTTAGAGCAGAGGTTCCCAGAATTACGCATGCAGACGACCACTTAATGAATCAGGCAAACAGGTAGCCGCTTAAGTTTCACTGGCAAAAAAACCCAAAAACATTCTGATGTTCAACTCTGTACTGAAGGAGTAGCTCTCTGCCCCATTTTCTAATCAAAGCCTCTATCAACTGCAAACCAAGTTTTAGGCATTTTCTCCACAACTTTGAGGAGGAAGGATTCATACCAGTTCCAATAGTCTGTAACCCTTAAAAGGGTGGGGTTTTTTTTTTGTTGGGGTTTTTTTGGTGCTATGAAACATAGTAAGAGGGAGAAGTGGCTGGGTCTGGATATAGAGCTGAAAAGCTCTTTAGTGACAAGTTTGACCCCTGGCACACCACCATCACCTCTGCTTGTCCCTCACTAAAATGAATGTCCTGTAGTTTTTAAGCAGATCAATTCCCCATTTCAGTTCATCACCAAACACACAATGCAGGATAGCAACAGTACCAGAATTAAGATGAGGTGAGAAAGGAAGACTAAATCTGCTGTTGCCAACAGAAGTTTACTTCAGAAGTAATGGAAGTTATTCCCAAGAGCCTAGAATTGTTATATTTATCTAAGGAATACGATACTCTGATCTCATTACAACAAGACGCTGATTCTCCTCTTAACCGCTACTCAGCAGCCCTCACCCCATGGTCTGATATATACACATTAAAAATGCAAAGGATACTATACAGTTTTGAGAACCAGGCTTTCCTAATGCAAGGCTGTTTGAAATAGCGGTGCTTGGCCTGATGATATTTGGGAATTCTCAAGGTGAGTTACCTTGTTCAAAACCAATAAAGATCAATAAAACTTGAAGAGAACGATTTGTTTCAAGTCATATTTTGTGTACTTCCCTCACAGTTCCGTAACTGGTTTCTGAAGGCCAGAGTTGAAATAGTCATGAGTGTGCTACTGCGATCTAACGTGCAGAAGCATTTTAGGGTATTTACTACTTACATGTATTTCTGCTCTTTGATTAGTCTGCCGTCCAGGAAGTCTTTCACTGGTATTTCTGTGTCCAAGGAACAAAGAGTAGATTAGTTAACTAAAATATTCAGTATGGTGTATAATGACTACACATTAGAGAAATAAGTACAAGAGGGCTACTTTCCTTTTTATAAAGGAGGATGAATAGATATTCTAGCTCTAACTTCCACCTGCATAGTACAACCTGCACTATTGCCATCAATATGCAACTACGTTTGTTGTCTTCTGTGCACACCTACACCTGTTTTAAAACTTTCTGCATTACTTGAATTATAGCTTCAGCCCCTAAAAATATTATTTCCAGTTGATTTTCCCCACATTCTTACCTCCCAGAGAAACTGATTTCTCTTTTCCCCTCAGAAACTCTCTAGTCTCATAACACTGTCATTATGAGTCTCAACAACAGGGTTTCATTCTCAAAAGGAGGCTGGTATTGTAAATCACACACAAATCAAACAGTAATACGTTTAAAAAAAAAAAATCCATCCAGCTACTTACAAAGGGTGGCCTGGTCCCCAGTAGACACCTATTCCAGCACGTGCCCTATTACGTCCATTACCTGAGCAACAACCATCTGTATAAACAACTGCAAAGTCACCTACAAAAGAATTACCAAAAGCAGAAGTTCAAGCACTCCTTCAAGGATGTAGATTCTTTAAGCAAAAAGAAATGTCTGCCAGCAGATTAATACCCAAAGCTTCCCTCCCCAAAGAGCCCTTCAAAAAGTTAACTACAAAAGCCATGTAAATCAGTAATGCAGAATACCAGAAATCCCACTACAGCTTTACACCCTCAACTGGTGTCAAATTAGTCAGCCTTAAGAAGCACCTCTGCTTCAAGTTCCATATTCTCACTACCTCACTACAGTTCCTGTCTTCTTCAGTCAACTTTAAAACCTCCCAGCTACATCTGTATATTTAAATATAGTCTGTAACCCAGACAGCATAAAATCACACCTGTAACAATCAGATTAAAATACATGTTGATGCCAGTTAAAGCCAACTAAAATTACACTGAAAGACAATGTGAACAAACAGATCATGGCTCATTTCCACTTAAAAAAGAAACGATGTCATGCTAGGCCTTCCTAAATGTTTTCTAATAATTACACTGGTTACTTTTGAAAGAGTGCAAAGAACTGAAAAGAATTACAGGAATAATGAAAGACCTCACCCATATACAAAAATTTATCTTCACTGACTGTTGGTGCTGAGTATACTTCATCGTGTTTTACACGCTTTGCAATGTGTTCTTCGTTTGTAGACTGTTCATACGGCCTTTTACATGTATTGCAACACAAGATATTTATTTCTGGTTCCTCTCTCTGGCTACCATTTTCCGGTGTTACGAGTGGAGGACACTTGGGATGAAATTACTTTTCACCCAGCACCCTCCCCCTCCAAAAAAAAAAAAAAAAAAAAGGGAGAGAAAAAGTTCAGCTATATACGAGATCAAATTGTATTTGAAACAACTGCTTCTAAAGACAAGACTTGTTATCACCTATTAGCAATGTTAGTCTGTTAACTGACACCATCCCAAGCTATTATGCAAAAAAATACTACAGTATACACCAGTCATTCTTGATCCTAGATCAAACTGAAGTGGGGACACACACGTAACAGCCCTTAAAACGGACGTGGTACAAGCAATGTTCTCCGAGCACCTACAGACATACTTTCATGGCGCAGACAGACACATCCATCGCCGCGTGCGGAGAGCAGGGCCACCGCTGCCCTTACCGCCGTGGC